CGATGGCATCTCGCCTTTAGGTAGACAGCTTCTGTCCAATTTGCCATATCCAAATAAACTTAACCTAACATTGACTTAAAAGGATTTTGGAAAATGTGAATATGAACAATTATTCAAATGTTTTTTGTCAAATAATACTGAGAAAACTGAATTTCCAGATTCAGTAATTTACAGTGATATACTTTTTAACGTTCCATTATATTAATCTAACCAATTATTATGATTTAGGTTAAAGTAACACGCTGAATAACGATTACTGGAGGAGTTAAACAAAAAACAACAAGAATCAGCGTAATGTTTATACATAACGCTGATTGTTGTTGTTTAACTTCTCCAGTAATTAAATATTATGATTTAGATTTTTACTGTCATCTATTCCTTCCGTTTCCCTACCATAATGCAAATCAGGTAAAAGTATTTAAGGTGAGGTTTTCGGACTGTAAATCAGAACGTGTTTTTGACTCTCGAGGCGCAATACAAGGTTTCGTTAACTCAGATAATATTGTAATCTTCGGCTTTGCATTATAATTGCCGACATTTAGAATGTTACGCGGTTGAGAAGTTTGAGCAGACTTCATGTTGAATAAATTGTGTAGTCTTCGGATATTATATTTAGTTTAAATTTGAATTTGACTGTTACATTAAGTTATCTTGACAAGTGGCTGGCTAATTTCGCAAGCACGAGACGTCCATTTTATGTTCAAGATTCTGATTTGATAAAAAGGTTGTTTTGTAACCTTCTCAGGTCTTTTTCCTTATCTTCAGACGAGCGATAATTCACTCCGAGTCCGTTAGGAGTTTGAATACCAGTTTATACTGCTAAAGAACTCCAAACTCTGTAATTCAGTTTCTCTACTTCGTTTAGCATTCTTTTAGTAAATTTAACCTGAATTTTTTAAAAACGTATTCTTAAACTTCCTTTCCGTTGTATAACTTTTCCCCTCTTCTTTACCTATATGAAGGCTTCGAGAAACTTCTAGGATTCTTCTGATATCTAACGGAAAGTAATATACTTCTCACCGCCTGCTGAGAAGCTACCTGCATTTCCAAAATTATACAAGGCAATAATTGTGAATATTAAATAAAAAGTTTCAGAAAGAAATCTTGGCCTGATTTAAGCAAAAAAAAAAAAAAAGTATTTCCCAAGCCTTCCTTCAGATAGCTCTCCAAATCCTTCAAAAATATTTAAAATAAGTAAAAATAAAATAACTTTCTTCCGTTATGGATTTAAGAAATGCAAAATTAAAAGCTAGAATGACATTTAAAATTTTTCTTACATTCTCATTGGCGACTGATATCGTTTAGCGAAACATTGATTTTACTAGTGCTAGCTTGCACACCCAATCTTCGCCGTTGCCTGGCCACTACGAAGTTCATGATGTCACACAAATATGAATAAATACATATCTTTATTACTACTTTACAACACTTAAAGGAATCAACTATGATGAATATAGACAATATTGCTACCCAACGTATCAAGAAATAGTGGTTATTCAGAGCAAAAAGGCTTTCTGCTGAAAAAAAAAAAATCTACGTGAAGGGAGTTGAGGAATGTTAGTTTGTTTTAATCATACAAGCGGAAACTTTGCTTTGTATGTGAAAGCTGCCCGATACGGGCAGGTTTTCGTACAACGTCCTTTACAGAAATGCGGTAACTATAATACAACTGTCATATCCTCTCGTAAACCAGCTCATTCTATATTCACCGTACACCCAGCCGTACGGATAGCCCATTATATATTCTGGAGTCAAATCTGCATAAATTATTCAAGTCCCACAACATTACCATACATTTCAAGGAGAGATCAAGGAACTCTTATTATGACATTAAGTTTTGAAACGCCTTGATAAAGTTAGTTTTAAGGTAAATATTTTAAACAAAATGAAGTAAAATAGAGAAATTAGTAAAACGTGATCAAAATTATTTCTTCCAGTATTCTACGCAATACGACAAATTTAATTACAGAATAAAAAATAAGAAATATGCAAATTAGTCAAGAGCTTCCATCTTTCGACAGACTGCATCGATACTTTGATTTGCTTAAGAGAGATGCGTATGGATATTTGAAGTTCTTTAATTTAAGAGAAGTTTATTGAGAATCCGGTGTTGTTTTTCCCCTTTTACTACCGTATCTTATGAAATCATAGTTGATACTTCGACAGCGTTGCGAATTTTTTGTTACTCGATGTTGCATGGAACACAGCGATGTCCTAATCTGATTAAAGTGAAGTAAAGGTTTATTTTAGGAAATATTTCATCAGAGATTTAAAAACTGACTACACACTATTTTCTTTTCAAAAAGTTTATTCGTTTATCTGTCAAGCATTAGGTTGCCAGACCTCTAATTAGTTTACGATGAATTTTTCTAAACATTTTTTTTTTAAATTTAGAAAGCAGAATTTTAAAGCAACTCTCAGAAATTTTCAAGTTTTAATGTAGAGCTTTCCTCTTCAGGATTTTGTAATCTATTAACGCATAGAAGAGGTTATCATTTTCACTTCCCAAACTATCCTTTTCACATCAATTCTTGGTCCAGGGGTTCCCAGCGGGGTCAGTATTAACCCCTGGTTGTCGATGAAATTTTTAACGGAATAGATAACCGATTATGCACTGACGGTTGATAGGGATAATCAAAATGCCATTGATTAGAAAGTAATGATTAATAAAATGAATAAATAACATTTTATTGATATAAAGTTATATCATATGGTAAGGGAGAAATAATGTAAAATAATTATAAGGAAAAAATACACAAAAATTATTTAATAAATTTTAAAAATCATTAATAATTTTTAAATATATAAATTTTTTATGAAATAAGGGAAATATTAAAAGCAAAATAAAGGAATACAAGAAAACATAGCTAAGAAATACGAAGAACGCAAAATTTCCTCAGAAATTAAATTGTTGCATAAAGGACGCTTGCAAAATTAAAAAAAGATTTTAATGCTCGTTTCTAAAACATTCCAAATTTGAATGTGTCAGCTTAGCTCATACAACCATCGAACTGCGGAATATTTGGTCTTCATGTTATGATGCAAGAAGTACTGATTGAAGGATGTTTAAAGTCATATTAAAAATAAACGCGCACGTTAAGTTTTCGAATTTAAAAGTCAGACGAAAGAAATTTCTCAAACTAAAAGTTATAACCGATTAACATTTTTGATTTTACCCTCTTCATAACTAGTGGAAGCCCACTTTAGTCGCGGCAGTAATGTACTATGGAAAACAAGAAGCAGGTTTATTTTTAAATGATGTCATTCAAGAATTAAATTAAGCAATTTGATGACAAATAGTAAAAATATTGCATTAGTATATCAGTACAATTGCATATATATGCGTATATATATAATTTATTTACTAAAGAAAATTGTGAATTTTAGATATTCTATACTATATATATATATATCTTATAAAGTACGTGCCCGATATTTGATTGCTTTGTATGAAGGTACAGTGCTTTTATTTGTCTATCCTTTTTTCATCATAATGTATTAAGTGCTATAAAGTTCTTAAAAATGTAACATATCTTGTATATATATATAGATCAAAATTTATACATAATAAAAATTGTCATGTAAAATTTTAAAATTTCATTCATTAGTTAAGACTGCTATCTAGCTCTTTCTTCCAACATATTTAATTAATTATGCAAAAATATAAATGTTTTTCTACTAAATAAGCGCTTTTTTGTAACTCTCACAAATACTTTTTGCTAACTTTTGAAGATATTTATTTAATTTTTTAATTATTTTGGAAGTGTTTTTTTACACTCAGCTTAATTCAATAAAATATTACATTAGGTCCTTTTAAATAAATATGGTTTTCGTTAATTAAAATTTTGTAACTAATTCAGAGTCAATTAATTCGTCATATTTTACAATAATATATTCATATTCTTCAGAAAAGGAGAAGATATTTAATTCTGTAGATATTTGAATTAATTATGAGTACACGAGTTATGATAAATGCAGATTAAATGTATAGTTTTTACGTTGGTAACACTGAGATCTTACAATTAGATATCTATAAAACTGTTTCAGTGAGTATTAGATATTTATAAAGTTAGTTAATTGTTTGTGGATGCAAAAGTGAAAACTTATTTAAATAATATTAAATGACAAGAGTCAACCTATGTTTTATAATACAATCCCAAATAAATAGTAATTTGTTTCGACTACTACAGAAAATTTTTATTAGAGTCAAATTAATAACTATAAAATTCCAATACATATAATTTCTACAATTGACGCTAGCATGGAAATTTAAGAAAATTGAACTCATTTATTCTGATAAGTCACATAACTAAGGGAAGAAGCATTTTAATATGTAAAATTCGTCTGTCAGGGTAAAATTATGGCTTTATTAAAAAAAATTTAAAATTAGATAACAGAACATGAATTTCTTGTCAATATGCTAACTTCAATTTTTACTTTAGTAATACTATAAGCCAACAACTTATCGAATTTATTTGGCCGCCTTAGATTCCCTCTACATTCTATCTACTAAGTTATTTGGCACTTCCGTTCTTCGAACTTTTGATCTGGAACACCTAATTCAATCTTTACTCCATTTTTTTTATTTTAGTCAGTACTCTCCCTGTTTCAATGTTTTAATATTTTTGAAAAAGAAATATTTTGTTAAAATTTCGCATAGCTTTGTTTCCGCTTTCGTAACATAATTAATGCAGTTTTTAATATACGTAAAGAATTGATATGCTACCTCACAATTACGAGATTAGCTTTCTGCATCTTTTGAGAACAGACCAAGGAAATGTTAAACTTCCGTATACTGCAATGTTCATGTTCTCTAAAGAGTAGACTGTTAATAAGAGTTGAGTTCATTGATACATTAGTCTTCATATGAATTTCATATTTATTAACCAAAATCACGAAAATAAGAAAATGATATTTACTAAAATATTTCCATGAAAAACACTTTTTAGTGCCAAGGATTCATAATATAAGTAATATAAGACTCAATGAAATCGACATACCCAAGTTGACAACAAAACGTCTGCGCACGTCTGGTTAAAATGCTCCACAGAGGATACGCTCACTACGCTTAATGAGGAAAATCTCTCGTTCAAACTTCAGTTATTCACAGCTGAAGGACAACGCACGAGGTCATGATTGCAAAACAAAGCCATTGTAAATTTATGCTAACAACGAAACTCTTCTCAACCACAGCTGTGACTCACCTACTGATTTTTGTAGCCTGTCTAGTTTCTACGTCGTGGAGATTCAGGTTGCTGGAAACGCCATGGCGTAACTACAGGAAACCGGACCTTTCAAACGTGTGCTCTACTTACGAAGTATGAACTTTGGCCTGTGTTCTTAGACACTTATCACTACAGGTGGTATTCGATGAATTCCCACATTTTTCCTCCTCTCATAATTAATTTTTTACGGATCATCAACTTGCGCTCCTTTCTCTCGTTGGCATACATTGCTAAAATAGAATTCGATAATTCTGCAAATACGTGTTTACTCTAGTAAACGGCATTTTAGAGAATTGCACTGCTAGAAATGTAAGATTCAGTTTCGGTTTTAAACAATTGCACTTGTTTTGAGGAACATACCCCCCTCCCACCTAACCAGAAATAAAATATATTCTATCTGAAAAATCTTCTATCTGAAAAAGTACTCTAGAGTTGAAAGGGATATTCAAAAATCGTAGGCGATCTGATGGGATAACATAAGAATGTTTCAGAAGAAACTTTGAATTCCTCTTGTATTGCCTAAACATTTTACTACGGTAAGATTATTTAAATATCTAAGCAATTTACTGTAACATATGTTCAGCAGTTTAATATTCTGAGTATCATAATTTAGTAGGATAAGTCTATTGTTTTCAACTGTTACTGTTACTTTCTAGCAAAATAGCGCAATCTTATGTATTTGCAGATAGGATAGCAATAGGGTTGTGTTATGTAAGTTATCTGAGAATTTTTTCAGAGCATAAAAAGGTGAAATTTATGTGTGATTATGATCTTCAGAGAGTCATGAAAACATCTCAGAAAATTATCAAACAAAACTAATTCTAACATTTTAAATCCATATTTCAGTTATTAAAGCGACTGAATTCTATATGAGTTAAAAATATGGGAAAGAACAAGGAATGTATAATCATGAGTTGAAATACAGTTATATATACTCAATTGTGTTGTAGGATTCCCTACTGAGTAATTCTAAGTTACAGTTAAATGTGAAGAATCTTAAGAAGTAGTAAGCGAATAATCGCTTGAGTTCGTGAGACAGTGAATAAACTTGGAAAGGGTTAAAAGACCCTTTATTATTCAAAATTAAGATTTAACAGAACTCCGTCTTGGAGTTCTGTTAAATTTTGTTTTGGATTACTACGTTCTGTACGGAAGTGGTAAGTTGAAATTAAGAAGCGATAGGAACGGAAGTTTAGCTCAAAATTTAACTGTTAATAAAGCTAACATAATTCTTACATATTGTGGTGATAATTTGTTTGAATAAAAGATTTACTTTTCACACTTAATTGGCTTACAAAAATAATTACCAATATTTAGGTTACACCTTTAACTCATTAGAGAATGAAACCGTCAGTTTATGAAGCAGAAGAATGTGGATTTTGATTCACGTAGGCCCACCAGCGGCCGAGCGGTAAAGTCGCTGAACACTGGTTGTTCGGTCCGAGGTTCGAATCCGAAACGGACTGGATGCAGTCTTTTTTTCTGGTTTTTCCCATGTGTAACGTGTATACGAGCCAGTTTCCCTTAGAAAGTCCTCCACGAAGGCATCCCTTCCCTTATGCAGATAGCCCTAGTGTGCTTTGCCATAATTAAAATACACCATACACCACACCATTTGATTCACGTATTTCTTTCAGCTGTTCCAAAAGATGTATAATGGGAAAATGGAAGTGTTTACATTATATTAATGTTATGAAATAAGCGTAGAGTTTATTTTTATGAACTTTCGAAAACATTCGCTTTAGAAATGTAAATTAATTTTAATTTATGTACTGAGATTATTAAATAAATATACAATAAAAGTGCATCTGAGAAGTTATCAAAAATAAATAAATTCAAGGAATCCAGCATTTACGCTTCAGTAAGATTGAAAAAAAATGTAGAACATTAAATGTAATTAAATTACTGCATTTCTACTTCTGATAAAATAAAAGAAAAAAAAAAAAAAAAAAAAAAAAAAAAAAAGGAGAAACGAAAAGGTAAGATAAATCAAGCTAAAGAGGGAAAGAAAAGTTAATCCATAGCGAATGGCAGAGGAAACAAGATAAAGTATAACAAATTGGATCTATACGAGACCAAGTGATTACTCTAATGATACATTAATCGTTTGATGGTATGAGTACCCAATTTGGCAGTTATCAACAAGTGAGAGTTGCCTGTTAAGTGCTTCCCTCTGGAATTCGTGGTTTTCCTCACAACAGCAAAACATTTAAACGCAAATTATGCTTCAGAAAACGCCATTACAATAATTATATTTTCCTGAATTAATGAAATTTACAACTCTGTAGCTCCCATTTTATATCAATACATATTTCTTTGGTTTAGATGTTTCATTTTAGATGTCAGATTTAGAATTAATAAAGTTGTTTTGTATAAAACGCATGGTCCTGAATTTGTAAAGTTCTTAATTTTATATAAATTATATCAATTTATAATCAGAAGCAATTACCTTTTTTTTTTTGCATATAACGAAAATGACTTTATACTAATTAAGAGACAATATATACCATGATTTAAGATTAACTGAGCATTTTATCTAAATTGTTTATTTTATAAAATTCTTAATTTTATGTAAATTGTGATAAATTTATAATTAGAGCAATTATCTTTTTTGCATATAATGAAAATAAAAACACTAATTAAGAGACAATGCATACCGTGATTTAAGTTTAACGGAGTTGTAGCAAGACGAATACCCTGGAGATTATCGTTGAGTGATGAGAGTACAGGCTTGAGTTTCCTTTCAAAATCAACTCTAAAGTCATCAAATTTTAACTTACAGTAGATCGGTTTATGTTAATCTATCACAAGTGCTGAACAATTGATTGATTATGATAAAATGTTTTCCTATCTAATTAACAGCTTCCGTTAAAGAAATATTCTTGTAGATTCAATTTGTTTCTATCAGTTTTTGAGTAATGCTATAAAGATTGTTCTAACAGAAGAAATGCGATATAGTTAATTCCTATGAAAAAAACTGCTATGATTTTGAAATTATTTTAGTACCTCAAAATATTAATTTAAATCTTAAAGTGCAATTTTGGGAAATAATTATCAATTAGAAAGTAATCTGAAATGCCCCAAAGAGTCATTTCTTAAATTACAAAGAGATTAGCCAGTATACTAATTGGTATGCATAGAATATTGGAAAGTGAGACAGAAACGTTTCCAAAAGATATTCGTTAAATTATTGTCTGAAACATTTTTTGCTTAATTACTTCCGATAAATACAATATGAGAACTAAAGTCGAGAGTACGCTATTTCTAGTAATTCTAACTTAGTTTATCCTAGCTTTATTTTCAGTTTTAATTATGTTATTAACTCGTTTTGATGATATACGCAAGACATGTATTCGGTAATATGTTTAAATGATAATGGCTTGTTGTAACTAAATAAGAAGCATTAAATAATTAAATAATTGATCAAATAGTTTCCCTTTTTTATAAGAGTGCATCATTTGTTTTTACAGCGCTTTAAATTAATAAGAAGTTTTTTTAAAAATGAGAGCTTTTAATTAAGTTCAATTTTTGAAGTCATTTTTAAATATAAAAGGTTTATCCGCATTTTGGAAAGATTTTAGTCCATTAAATAGAAATATCCTATTACCAAAATAATTTTAATTTTGAGGAAAGTATTTAGTTATATATATATTATACTTACAAACTAGTTCTTTACAGCGATTTTTATTAACAAACTTCTTATAACCTAAAGTGTTTGTCCATTGAAAGTGAATATTAGTGGTTTTAAATCACTACAATATAGCTATAGTAACTTCATATAAGGCTCGATTTTTCTCCGAGTAATAAGAAGATTATGTAAAAACGATGTTAAATAATTTTAGGGCATATCGAATTGGCATTTAGTGTCCCTTTCGAATATTGTTGCTCTCTAAAAGAAAAATGATGAAGAAGGTTGTAACAGCAGTTTATATTAATGGTATTAAAACTTCAAGTTCTATAATTATTAAATCATTAATTTGTAAATATCTTACTTTTAACGAATTTGCCATGCAGAAACATTTTTTATGTTTCCAGTTAAAGACTTTTCTTCATGAAAATGTTAGCTTTAAGGAAACACATTCAGTAATAAGTACGTAAGAAGTTATCTTCGAATTAGTCATAAAAATTCCAATGAGAATGGTTTTTTATGTCTGTTATTTAACAGTTTGTATAGTATATTTAGGTTATCATTTAGTTTCTTTAATTAAAAATGTGTTTGTTTAAAAATGAAAGAACCGATAAAAAGTATAGGAAAACTTCCCTGAGCGTGATTTATTTTATTAAAACATAATGCGTACTATGAAAGTCGCGTTAAGTCAGCGAAATAAATTAAGAAATAATTATAATTCATCCACAATAGTAAATTTAGAAAATCCATGTCTACTTGAAATTGCTTAAATTTTATCTAGCGTCTGAACATTGTATTGAGCTACATTAAGAATATATAAAGAAATAAATAAAAATGAAAATAATTTGTTATTCTTGCACTATTAAATTAAAATCTAATACTAAATAAGTTTTATTAAGAAGCTTTCATCCAGTCAACTGGTGACAACTGACGATAGCTTTCTCAAGATTTCAATGAACTTAGACAATATGTGAATAAATTTTGGTTATGAATTCCTAACGTTTTCTTTAAAACGGATAATCGTTGGATGAGTTTAAGGTTGAGTCGCCATAGCATAGTTAGACAAATTTAGCAAGTACAGAAATGTTATCGTCCTGGAAAATAACATTTTTTTCATGAAGCATAATATGCATCATAGGAGGGCATGGCTTGTAAAACTTAGTCATAGTCCTTAACAGTTATTCTTCCTTCTACAATTATAATAATGCCAGCAGAAAGTATGACATAGTTGCCCAAATCACAGCAGACCCGATGTATGCTTGAAAGTTGCTATGAGACAATCCAAATCTACTCCATATGTATTGA